ATATAGGACAAGGGATTAAAAAAGGATAATTTAGGAATTTAAATAATCTGAGCCTGTATAATACTTAAATTGCATGTAATCCATGTATTACAGTTTCGAGCGTTTTCTAGGATCAATGAAAATTATATTGGCCTCAAAATTAAAGAACTCATTTTCTTACGTGAAATTCCTATGGGGCTCGCGGCGGCACCTCTTACAATTGTCCTAGAGAGGTGAGATTCATGGAGGATCATTACCCTATGTTAAAATTTTAGTCTTATTCCGGTCGCATTGCAGGATTTTATTTATTTATTTTTTTTTTTTTGGGGTGGCCTAATATACATACACACATACATATATATATATACATATATGTATAATACAAATAATATACTCCTCCCATCCCTCCCCTTCCCGCTCCGTTAACTTTGGAAAATACGTTTTTATTTTTTTATTTCAAGAAATAACACAGAAACAGATAGTGACTGATTAACAGGCTGAGCACATTTAGCCTCACTGTTTTCGGATCCAATTGTTTGTGGGCTGGAAAACTTTTTCAATGATGCTCTTGTATTACATTCTACACCGATTTTTGCCGACAACTTGTAGCTAGCATCTGTTTGGTCCTTTCCGTCAGTGGATGCGCTCGGCGATTCCAACCCGCCACTTGCATTTTCTTCGTTTAGAGCCTTGGCACACAATTCACTCCTTTCCTTTGAATGGTTTGTGTTCATAGCGTTAATTTTATTATGATCGAAATCTTGTCTCGAAGCAGAATTTTCGCATCGCTATGCTAAAGTTCCATCGCCAAAATTCTCTAAATGAAAATCAGTGGGGCCTAAAAGCACGCAACATGGAAAATCAACCAAAGCTGTCAGTAAGAAGGGCCAGTGATAGGAAATTAAATTTTTCCTTCAGTACGAAATATATACAAAAACTACTTTTCGTCTATAAATTGGATCAACTTTTTAATTTGTTCATATATTTTCTTACTACATTCCCCTCAAGACCAAAGATTTTATGGTATTCATGAGAAATGTTCTTGTTTATGCACATACATTAACGTATTTCACACTTTTACAAATTGATTCCACGTACTCATGTACTTCATTTAACACACATATGTATACACATATTTTCAGGCAAACTTCTTAACAAAAAGCATTTTTATGTTATTATAAATGGAGAAAAGAGACATCTTCTTTGGATTCGGTTATAAATTTTGACATTTTAATAGCATTTCAAGTGCTTATCAAAACTTTTCGACATTCAAATATTGACAAGATTTGACCAGTTATCTTAATATTATTTAATATTATGTATTTTTTTTTTATAAAAATACAGTTTATACTTAAAAAAAAGCTCTACAAATCCAAGGTTCAATCTTTGTGTAACATTAAAACAATTAACACACATGCGTAAAAATTTCGAGCTTTTTAATTAGATTTCCTAGAAATATTTTGAGTATGCAGTTTGTTAAGTTTTAATATGACAAAGTTCTTTAAGATTATTTTTGATGAAGGTGTTGCTCATTTTCTCCATAAAAAAAAATCATCGAACACACTTCGTATGGAAAAAATTATTGACATCGTCAACAAAAAAAAGAGTTTCCAAAAATCAGGGGTAAATCCCAGCTACTTTAAGCTTGCAATTTACTACATATACTAAAATTTAGACCTCGAAATTTTTACGAAAGCTTGTTGATTTTTTTAATGTTGCACAAACTTGGATTTATACAACTTCAACAAATTTTTAATTTAAGCATTTAAATGAATGAATTGAATTATTATGTATTAATTTTCAGGTCCATTATATTCCACATCTTTGAGTGGACTGATGAAATCTTCTGCTTAAAAAAATCTTACTTCTAGTGATCAGGTAGCATGAATTTGATGAAATGTCATAATTTTATTAAAAGTCAATTGGTTAGCAACAACAACGAATGTCATTAAAGGGAACTACCTTCTTTTTTGTATCATGCTGCGTAGTAGGAAAGTATATTTCAAACGAAATTGTATCAACACAGTACAATTGTGCCAAAAATGCCAACACCGTGAGGGGCATGTAACTAGATGTTGCATGTTGTTAGGTATTCTCTTGGAGATTTTTAGCGATCAAAATTAGCGATAGCGAATGCTAGAATCCGGCTGCTGAAAACACGAAATTACAAATTCGGATATAAAAGAAATGGTAACCAACTTTTTCAAATCCGCTGGTTCTTTTTCATTATTTGACCAGCTTAATCAAATGCTGTTGGTCCGATTCCCATCACCTCCAACTTTTTGAAATTTGTTGCACTGTGTTATGTCCGGTAGCTGGAATTGACAGCTTCGGTTTCACCAAGTTCTGATTAACTAACATCGGGGTGAGTTTGGTGATTGTGGATATTAAAGGAAAAGGCTTATAAATTAAATATCGGATATTTTTACCATAGAGATTTGAAATTTACTTAAAATTGTAAATAATGTAATAATGTAACACGATCACAAAAACTGTAGAGAGAGTTGTAATGCTCAATACTACTTGATAAATTTGTATCAGAAATATTTCTATAGGAGTATTCACCGTTATTATAATTTTGTTTAGAATTTATAATATTAGCACGTTTATCAACGGTTTATTACTTTTTATGAATACCCTTATATCAGAGGCGTAACTATAGGACGGCATTACTGGCAAAATGCCACGGGCCCCCGATCCGAGAGGGCCCCGGCCCAAGAGACTGCGAGTTCAGAAATAACCTAACATTTTTAGCAACACTAAGTACTTAAACGTTATAATTTTTTTAAGTACTTAAAATCAATTAAAGCGAGACACAACTTAAGACCATTTGGTCAACATTTTTGTCGTTAATGTTACAGTCGCACGTATATTTCTGTTTATATTTCTGAAACATTGTGTAAAAGCGAAAGTTTTTCATTTATTCTGATAATAAACCCCAAAAGCTACATTTTATATGGGCGATTCTACCATCACGGGTGGGACATTTGAACAGAAAAAATTGTTCTTTCTTGTTAAAATTTAAGTATAAAGTACTGAACAATTCTACATTTTGATAAGTTACACCTTATTGACTATTATAAGAGTTATTACAAAATACGAAAAAAAAAAAAATGCCAGCTTACCTTTATATGCAAAAAAATCTGAGTTATTTCTTCTCTCATGGGTGGGACAAAAAAAAGAACCTGCCTTTGGGAGCAGACATATTTTACGAAAACTCTGTGACTTTATTTCACTTTTCTGTGTAAACTTGATGTCTTATAATAAAACAAAGAACCACGAAAGCAAACAAAGCAAAAACTACAACAAAAAGGATGGCTTTATTGTAAAAAAAAATATGAAATTCCTCTGTCACGGGTGGGACAACATTTGTCAGGGGTGGGACACGTACGAATTTTTATATGAAAAGGAGCTTTTAGTGTGGTCCATATTAAAGATTAGTTATTAAAGAATATAAGAGGCCAAATAATAAGTTCAAGTAAGTTCACTCACGTTTTATCTTAGTATAATATATATAGAAGAAAAAGCCTAGCACCGTCAGCCAAAAAAGTTATTGAAAATCAACGCGATCTCCTAGTGTCTTGAAATTTTCACTTTTCCCTACTTAAATTTAATGTGCTATAAAACTGCGTACCTAGAACTTTTCTAAAAATTATGAACAAAAAGTTTAAAATTTTTGGCTGTAATTGTTAAAATTTGTCGAAATTTATAATTTTTGTACGAAGTTTGAAATGTGGATTTATGTGGTTCTGGTTATGTAATACGCTAGACTTTTATAAAAAAAAATATGAACATTAAATAAACAAAAGAAAAAACCAAAACTGGTCAAAGTGTCACTTAACTTAATCAGCTGACCACAAGGGTATATACATAGGTAATGGGCAAGTCCGCGCTTGCGCCCTTCTCCCCTGCGACCACCTCAACAAACAGTTAAAGCTTATCAGCCCTGCAAACCTACCTCTGGCAACTGAACCACCCGTAGCTGTCACGGGTGGGACATGCTTGACTGTTGAATTATTCTTATCTAACTATGTGGAAACGAAAATGCAGTTGTGGTAAACATTGACAATGAAGCTCTAACATTATGTAACGAACCCGAAACACAACTTCAACTCCTGTAATTAAATATAACAACTTTTATCTTTTTTTGTCACGGGTGGCACAAGACCAATACTGTTTAATAATAACTCATAATATAGATAAAGCACTCACTTAATTTAATATATGATACAATTTTATTAAACGCAGATGACTTCTACTGCATACTTTTCTTACCAAACACTTGAATTAAGAATCGCAAATTATTTGACAGTACTTTCAACACAACCTAACGGGTGATTTTTTAAGAGCTTGATAACTTTTTTTTAAAAAAAAACGCATAAAATTTGCAAAATCTCATCGGTTCTTTATTTGAAACGTTAGATTGGTCCATGACATTTACTTTTTGAAGATAATTTCATTTAAATGTTGACCGCGGCTGCGTCTTAGGTGGTCCATTCGGAAAGTCCAATTTTGGGCAACTTTTTCGAGCATTTCGGCCGGAATAGCCCGAATTTCTTCGGAAATGTTGTCTTCCAAAGCTGGAATAGTTGCTGGCTTATTTCTGTAGACTTTAGACTTGACGTAGCCCCACAAAAAATAGTCTAAAGGCGTCAAATCGCATGATCTTGGTGGCCAACTTACCGGTCCATTTCTTGAGATGAATTGTTCTCCGAAGTTTTCCCTCAAAATGGCCATAGAATCGCGAGCTGTGTGGCATGTAGCGCCATCTTGTTGAAACCACATGTCAACCAAGTTCAGTTCTTCCATTTTTGGCAACAAAAAGTTTGTTAGCATCGAACGATAGCGATCGCCATTCACCGTAACGTTGCGTCCAACAGCATCTTTGAAAAAATACGGTCCAATGATTCCACCAGCGTACAAACCACACCAAACAGTGCATTTTTCGGGATGCATGGGCAGTTCTTGAACGGCTTCTGGTTGCTCTTCACTCCAAATGCGGCAATTTTGCTTATTTACGAAGCCATTCAACCAGAAATGAGCCTCATCGCTGAACAAAATTTGTCGATAAAAAAGCGGATTTTCTGCCAACTTTTCTAGGGCCCATTCACTGANCTACTAAAAAAATTTGCTTATGACTTGATTAGAAAACGTAAAAAAAGGCAATAAAAATGCATTTATAGCTTGAATTTGTTATTTTTTGGTTGATTGGTTTTGGTTGGTTTTATAAAGAAAACAATTTGTGCTGTGAGGCAGTGGCGTAACTATACCATCTGAGGCCCGTGGCAAACTCTTTGGATGAGGCCCCCAAGTAAAAATCGTCACGTTGTAATTTAATTTTAACTCTAGAGTACTAACCATATTTTAATACGTTAGTACTAATTATAGTCGATTAAACGATGTCTTGATAAAAGCCTGTTGTTTGAAAATATTATACATATCATTAAACTTATAAATTTGATGTTTGAAATTAATCATAAAACAACTTTTAGGTTCGTAAAAACTCAAAAATATTGTTTATTCAATATATTTCACATACGCTTCTATTTTATGTATTTTATACAAGCGTATCAAAAAAGGACTAAATTTTCTGCTGGACTTCACAAACGAGATCAATGCAAATCAAAAATGAACAAATTATATTCGTATTAATATAATAAAAAAAACAGCAAAACTTTAATTAGAAATTGATTCTGCACATGAGACACAAGTCTCAACTTTGGTTCGACGAGTAGTTAATGCAAACAAAATCACACTCTGGTAGTTCAAAGAAAACAAAATGCCTTCTCCCTACAACAGAATATGAAGGACTAACCATATATAAAATTTGACCGCAGTCATAATAATAGATTGGCGCTTACACATATGTTAGTGTTTGGCAGAGCTTCTCCTCCGATTTGTGGCGGGCGCCTTGATGTTGTAACACAAAGAGGAGGGACCTACAGTTTTACGCTGAGAAGCTGTTTTTCATGGCAGAAATACACTCTGAGGTTTGCCATTGCCTGCCGAGGGGCGACCGCTGTTAAGAAAAAAACCTTTTTTCTAAATTTTTTTATGATTTTGCTTTCAGCACGGCTTGAACCCAGGCCCTGCGGAATGGAAGCGCGCACTGCTTACCACCACACCACAGTGGCCGCCGACCGTATTCATACCACTCAGTAAAGAAGAAATGAGTAAAATGGAAGTAGAAGTCGTCGAATCGACGAAAATTTGTACTCTAGGGTTAATAAACCACTTAAGTAGTGACCCAACACTATTAAAAAAAATGTGCATTTTAGTTAAATATCTAATAAATTTTATTTTCAAGAGCATGGGTTTATATATATTTGTAATGAAATAACAATTTAATTTTGATAATATATTTATTAGTAAAATTCTTTTCTCCGAGCTTTCTGTTGCGCAAAAGAATCTATAACATCATCAAAGTTTAAAGATAGAGCCATAGGATTTTCAATAGACAGAATAGCCAAGTTACGTAGCCTGTTTTGCCCATAGAGATTCTCATATACGAAGGTTTTATTATAGGTTTTCGGTTCATAGATTTGTCATCAACGTGTATTATCCAAAATTTAATATTTTTATGGTTTCTTTGAACCTTGATCATTATTAAAAAACGAGTTTAATTTTTAACTTTACAAGATACGCCAAGTTTTCCATATGTGTGACGTTATATCTAACTGACTTCCAAAAAATTTTACGTTAAAGACCACTTAAAACCACATTTATCTTTAAAACAACAAAAGATAGGAAAAAAGTGTCTGTATATAAAATGTAGCTTTTGAGATTTATTACACAACATTTCAGAAATATACGTGCGCCTGTAACGTTAACGACAAAAGTGTTGACCATATGGTCTTTAGTTGTGTCTCACTTTAATTGATTTTAAGTACTTAAAAAAATTAGAACTTTAAAGTACTTAATGTTGTTAAAAATGTTAGGATATTTCTGGACTCGTGGTCTCTTGGGCCGGGGCCCTCTCGGATGGGGGGCCCGTGGCATTTTGCCAGCAATGCAGCCCTATAGTTACGCCTCTGCTCTGAAGTTCAGTTTCCCAATGGAACCTCCCATATACAGACAGTTGTTTCCTATCTTTTGTTGTTTTAAAGATAAATGTGGTTTTAAGTGCGCAACTATAAATCAAAAATTTTTTAGAGAAAATTTTAAACATTGTTTAGAACTCAACAAAAAATTTGAAATTTGTTCGACGCCACACATTAGATAAGTAAGCGTAAACAAGCAAAGTTTATTTTAATTAGCACGGTGTGTAATTTGCATACATTATCTTATGGGAATTTATATGGCGCTACAATAACAACAGTAAACCTAAAATTATCATTATTATTACATAAATAACAACACGACGGTACGGACGTATTCATATGTAGCTCAGCGCAAGAATATACAAATACAAATATACAAGAACAATTATTTATCGCTTCTATAAACCTAAGGCACTCCGTACATTACGCGTCTAATCAAAGTAGAGTAATCGTTTCGTCATGCCGAAACGAATGCATGACGACTCGACTTCTGCACACTTGCACGCTCTGCATAAGTCACCAGCAGCGTTCGGACTACTGAAACTCGATTCGGGAGTAAATGACTCGAAAAATCGGAGCAAAAACGAAATTTTCGGAGCACATTAACATTTTTGTTTATGGACCAAAAAATTCAAAATTTCACACAGATTTTTTTAAAAGAATAATAAACCAGATTTTTGCTATTACCAATAAAAATTCTAAAAAAGCGGATTTTCGGCCCACGCTAATGCATATGTATATTTAAGGTAGATTTCAATTCATCAAATTGTGTTTAAATTGTAATTGTAAAGCATTGGCACCGAGTACTTGTAAATCAGCTTAATCCCTAAATAGTATTCAAAAACAAGCTTTCCATCAATAAATTTATAATTAAAAAAAAGTAAATTATCGGACGTCGTATAAATTTCTGACCTTTGGTTTAACTTTCAACTGTTTCGACATTAATCCTGTTGGCGTAATTACTTTTAATGAGATTCATCTCTGAAAATTTTCTTTCGGCTGCAGCACTACTGTGCAGTAAAATAGCCAACGTCGGCATATACTCTGCCAAGTTGCTAAACATGCACCTTTCCAAAACATTTTTCCTAGTCCTTAATCAATCCCCTGCTTTGGGAAATGAAAAGTGATTCCGCAAGGAATGTTAAGGAGTAAAATAGACAACTTCTGTTACATCTTGCTATACAAAACCTTGGTGGTTTCCACAGAAGTTATTTAGCAAAAAGTTAAGAAGTTAGCATATTATTTTGTGACGAACTTTTGTAGTGCCGGGGTGAGCTACATAAGTCCGTCCAGGGTTCCTGAAATGGAAATCCTACTCCGCTTCTTCAAAATAATAAATCTTCACTTTCAATCAATTTAGTCTTTTATTAAATACACTTCTTAAATTAGGAACTCCTATCAGGAACGCTTAAAAGCAGTGGGAGTGAATATCCCTCCACTATCCTTACCCGTCGGCGGGAGTGGTAACCTCCGCCGAATATAAGCCTAAATGCAAATGAGGTGGAAAGTCCCAGGTGCGCTTCGTTTGCCGGTAGTGTGTGCCCACCGACAAGTATGCCTGCCTACTACCGACTCACATAGTAGTATTTGGCCGATTTATGCGGCCAAAATTATTTTTATGAATATTTCAACTCGAAATGTTTAGAAAAGACGTGTTGTGACATATAGAATTGTAAATGTTCAAAATCAAGTAAATATAAGGGGAGGTCGTCCAACTCTGTCATCAAAAAAAAAAAATATATTAAGTTGCTTAAAGTTTGACATCGGTAGACTACATGTTGCCGTGGTCCGATTTTAGGAACACATATTTACGTGTTCGTCTCGGCGCGGAGAAGGTTTATATCTAGCATTAACAGAGCTGCCACATGTTAAACAGTTTTGTTCAATTAGTTAAATGAATTGAATTGAAAATGGGTTTGAAAAGGTTTTACCTCTAAGTAACCTCCCAGGGTTGCCACCGGTTTAAAAATCAAATTCAATTTTAATTTAGAGAATAGGTAATTCAAATATGTACTAACATTAACAGAGCTGCCACATGTTAAACAGTTTTGTTCAATTAGTTAAATGAATTGAATTGAAAATGGGTTTGAAAAGGTTTTCCCTCTAAGTAACCTCCCAGGGTTACCACCGGTTTAAAAATCAAATTCAATTTTAATTTAGAGAATAGATAATTCAAATATGTACTATCACAGTATAGGTAAGAAAATGTAATAAAACTACATTTTTGTAATAATAACAGTAATATAACAGTCTTATTTATTGTTAAGAGAATGTTGTAAGTATTAACTTGGAATAAATTGGCGCCTTAATTACTGAAATATTTTCAACGTATTGCTTTTCCATACCAAAGTTATTAGGTGCCCTGGGTTTGGTACAAATTAATAAATCGGTTACCGAGATATATATTTGTGATCATAAGTGGGCGGCGCCACTCGCATTTTCCAAAAATTTCATAATACTAATTTGTTCCAAAATTTTACTCCGCATACCAATTTTCAACAATTTGGATACAATATTTACTGAAATATCGTAGATTTATCTAAATTGACATTTATCTAAATTTAAGAGCGTGTATACCCAAAACTATTTCTTTAATCATCACTTACATATATAACACCAATGTAAAGGAAAACAAATGGTTATTCCGAAATACATAACATAGTTGGGTTCGCCTTACATTCCCGCAGATTTCCAGCAACAGGACCGAAAGGTCCCCTAGAAAACGTGACTTTTGCTCATATCTCGAAAACTATTATTATTTTTTAATTAATTAGATTCCCATTCCACGGCCTCAAATTCAAAAAGTTTAATTTTATTGTTAAAATATATCTAAAGTATTGTAACTATATACTAGTTTCGTTTTTGGATTTTTCTTTAACACATTTTCTGCGGGCAATCTTTTCAGACTACATTAGCCAAATTTCCAAGCTTTCAATTGAACAAAGAATAATAACGCGATCTCTCCCGGGGATACAACAAATTCCTTAATATTCAACAAAAATTAAAAAAGAAATACTAGTTGAAAACCGCTATTTTCGTTACATTTAAATTGAACTTTTCCTTAATAAAAAAAAAAATTAACTCTTAAATGCATTATTACCTTCTGTATGCGGATCCATCACAACTTTTTAAGAAAACAGTGCAGAAATTGAAATATTGACTTAAAACCGTCACGATCTTTCTAGAGAGCGAAAATTTATTTATATGCAGCGTTAGAATATTCTGTTTCCGGTCAACGGTGAGTGTTCGCTGTGCAAGAAAGGGGGACTGCGAAATGTTATTTGGAATATTCTCTATCGAATGTGACTAATTTTTTAAGTGTCCTTCAAAATTTTGTCAAATTGGTATTTGGCCGCCTAAATCGTTCAAATACCCCTATGTGCGACTGCTTAACTTTACGAAATATTTCCTCGCTTTTATACTCTTCTGCGCCTAGGCAGACTGTTGTTCTACAATAACAATGCTTAACTACTAATGTTAAGAAATTAACAAACTTCAAATAGCAACAACTGAACACTGAAGGTAGTGTTATGTGGTATATACAATTTAATAAGTATAAGCAAATCCAATACAATTCAATTTAGGTAATTGAATTAATTAAACTTAATTAAAGGCTCATTTCAAATCAAATCCTATCAAGAACGCTTAAAGGCAGTGGGAGTGAATATCCCTCCACTATCCTTACCCGTCGCCGGGAGCGGTAACCTCCGCCGAATATAAGCCTAAACGCAGAGCTGGGTAAATGCAATTACATTACAATTACAATTACATTCCTCAGTAATTGTAATTAGGATGCAATTCCTTCAGTTCACAGCAAAGGAATCGATTACTTTTTCAATTCCTTGAAGTAATTTCAAATGGAATGGTTTTTTTCTTTAATTCCATTACAAGGAGTTTCATATTGTAATTGAAATAAATTACGTGCTAATATGTATTTTTTTTCAATTCCTTTGAAAGGAATTGAAAATGTAATTTTTTTCCAATTCGTTTGAAAGGAATTGAAAATGTAATTGATTTTTTTCGAATTCCATTCCTCAAAGTAATGTAAAAAGTAATCGAAAAATTTATAATATAAAAATTTACTGTTGAATTGCAATAGCTGTGTTAAATTTCTTGGTTGCTAACTGCCTTGAATAAATAACTTATACCTCAGTAGTATTACTAACTGGACTTTAAGAAAACTGAATAACTTAAACTGTGTTTTAACAGGTGGAAACCCTCCTTTAAAATATTTTCGACTGTAAGCTTTTTGAAAACTCTTTAGTTTGACACCCACATGGCAATATTTCATTTACTTCGTCAATTTAACTGAGTTACAATTTCCAAACATATTTCCAACAGTTATCTTTCTCAAACCTCTTTAGTTTGATACCCATATTCTAATATTTTATTTATTTTATCAAGGTAATTTAGTTAAATTTTCAAACACATGGCACCCCTCCTCAAACATATTTTCGGCAGTAAGCCTTCTAAAACTCTTTAGTTTGACACCCTCATGGCAATATTTTATTTATTTTATCAATTTGACTGAGTTAAAATTTTCAAATAGGTGGCAACCCTCGTCAAAAATACTTTCAACAGTTATCTTTCTTAAACCTCTTTAACTTGATACCCATATTGTAATAATTCATTTATTTGATCAATATAATTGGGTTTAAAAACTTCAAATAGGTGGCAATTCTCTAATTTTTTAGTATTATACCGAACAATACAAAAAAAAAATTCAAATCAGTTCAGCCGTTCTCGAGTTTTGACGACCGTGACATACTACGAACACAACACTTTTATATATGTGACCTGGTCTACGGAAAGGGGGCTTAGGTGTCAAAAAATCAATTTTCACTTTTTGGTTGATTCGGATGGAAGATGAGATGCTTTTTCACGTGGTGAAAAGCAGAAAATCCTAACTTGCTTAGAAGTGTACTAAAAATATGAACTGCACTGAACTCCTCATCAACACTCATGTTTCATTTCATGCGAAATGCGAAGACGATAATCAACAGAAACAGTAAACGTCACTTCTTCAGTGTTACTTTTTTAAATGTTCCACACTAGCAACTTACACGGGTTAGGGGGCTTAGGTGTCAAAAAATCAATTTTCACTTTTTGGTTGATTCGGATGGAAGATGAGATGCTTTTTCACGTGGTGAAAAGCAGAAAATCCTAACTTGCTTAGAAGTGTACTAAAAATATGAACGGCACTGAACTCCTCATCAACACTCATGTTTCATTTCATGCGAAATGCGAAGACGATAATCAACAGAAACAGTAAACGTCACTTCTTCAGTGTTACTTTTTATATGTTCCACACTAATGTTCCACTAAATGTTACACGATGAACTATAATAATATTCCGACCAACAACAACACTTACTGGACCAACAACAACACTTACTGGACGTCCGGCGCGGAGAACAATTAACGAGATAATGAGAAACTGACGAAACGAGTTGCTTACTTTTAACAGCTTTTTCACAGAAAACTAGTTTTCGCACGTAAGCTCCCTTTTCGTAGACCAGGTCACATATATAGATATACATAGAAGGTGTTCAATGTGTGCTTTCGATTTTAATCTTTGACCACAACAAAAATGCCACATTGTACTTTCAGTTTCCCGATTACTTTTACAATTCCTTTGAGTAATTGAAAAAACTAAAGTACTCTTGCAATTCCAGGTAATGGAATTGAAAAAAAAAAAATGAATTACATTTTCAATTCCTTTCAAAGGAATTGGGGGAAAAAGATTACATTACTAGCACGTAATTTATTCCAATTACAATATGAAATTCTTTGTAATGGAATTCAAAAAAAAAAAAAAAACAATTACATATGAAATTACTTCAAGGAATTGAGAAAGTAATCGATGTCTTTGCTGTGGACTGAAGGTATTGATTCCTAATTACAATTCCTTGTAATTTGTAATTGAGAGTAATTTAATTCCTAAAGGAATCATTACGACCCAGCTCTGCCTAAACGCAAATGAGGTGGAAACTCCCAGGTGCGCTTCGTTTGCCGGTAGAGTGTGCCCACCGACAAGTATGCCTGCCTACTACCGACTGCTTAGCTTTACAAAGTATTTCCTCGCATTTATACTCTTCTGCGCCCAGGCAGACTGTTGTTCTACAATAACACTGCTTAACTACTAATGGTAAGAAATTAACAAACTTCAAATAGCAACAGATGAGCAATGAAGGTAGTGTTATGTGGTGTATACCAGACAACAGCATGAGTATACTCACTTCTATCTAAATAGTATGAACTCAATGCTGTGAACTCTATACGGGTAGTGTTTCACCGTACGAACAGTGAGATTCATAGTTAGTTTTGAAATAAAAGTTTAGCTGCAGTGTACTCATTTGATTTCAAATATCGCATTGATATACTCTTTCCAAATCAAGTCAACCGAATGAAAAACACTGTTATGAAAAGCAAGTCGAGCAATCGAATGACACTCATTGACTTCAAACAATTAGTAGAGAATACGACAATTTTGAAAAAAATGGATATTGATGAAGTATTTTTTTGAATATATTAGGTTTATTAAATTATTTAATTATCCACCTGATGTACATTTATATAACGAGTCTACAAAAGAAATGCACAGTCACCTCAGAAGACCTCGGCTTTATAAGAGACTTGAAAAATGAGTCGCTTTATTATTTAAAAACTGTTGCTGTTGATAACTTAACAGATTTACACAAAATTTCGCTTTTTTTATACCCGCTAGCAAAATAGCTGAAGAACTTTACCGAATCTGATCAAAGGTACACAAAAGAGAAATGTTTACAAATTATTAGAACGTTAACTGAGAATTCTGACAGTACAACGGAACCACAAATTGCGGATACACTTTTGTTACCTTCAGACAACTTTGAGCTGTTTTCAGGTCTTCTTAAACAACCTACCTTTGTGAGCAGAATTGATAAAGCTACTGCAGAGCTTCGGCTTCATACGAACTTCGATATAATTAACTGGTGGGAGGTACACAAATGCGAAATGCCGCTGCTGCATAAACTGAGTCGTAGAGTAATAGCCACTCCTTCAACTAGCGCATCGTCAGAAAGAGTTTTTTCTTCTGCTGGAAATGTTATTTCTGACAAAAGATGCTACCTTTTGTTAAATGATGATACCCTTAATCAGTTGATATTTTTGCGTTATAATATGCCGTTAGAAAACCAATAAAATTAACAAAAATTGTCTTTACAAATTGTTTTCCTTTGATACTTTCGTTACAGCAGTTATGGCTTGCACTTGTTTTTCCAATCAAGCACTTGTTATTTGAATCAAGCACTTGTTATTTGAATCGAGCACTTGATAGTGTGAATTACTCACTCAATTGACAATGTTTTTTCAATGCTATCGCACGTTAGGTTTGGAAATAAATGAGTGTGTGCAGATTTGAAAAGAAACCGAGTGACTTAAAATGTAATTTGAGTGTATCCATGCAGCTCTCTGGTTTATACAATACAACAAGTATAAGCGAATCCAATACAATTCAATTTAGGTAATTCAATTAATTCAACTTAATTAAAGGCCCTAGTTAGGGCGGGTTAATTTTTTTTTCGACATCGTTCCTAGCAGATTCGGATTCTACATAAAATTCTAAGAAAAAAGCCCTTTAGACCATATCTCTAAAATCAATTTCGAGCCTGCCCAATTTTAAAAGAAATAATTTTTAATTAATACTAAGTCCATAATCAGATTAATATTTACTAAAGTGTTAGGAATGTTTTTTTTTTTTGTAATAAAGAATTGTGCTCGGGAGTTTTGTGATATGAAAAATTCATTTCTGATATCTATTTTTTATTTAAAGAACCGCAAGATGGCGCTTCAAAGCAAATCTACTATATATTTGTGGAAGTATGTATGTATGTATGTACCAGGTTGCAGCTTGAACGGATGTATAGAATCGAATAAAATTTTGCCAAAGTATTGCCATGACTCCTGGACCTATAATAGGGTAAAAAATTGAAACTCGCCAAGGGGGGGAGGGGATGAGATATACCTCCTATAGTGAAAAGTTTTAATCAGCTCTAACTTCGGAATTATAGTCACATGAACTCGGAAATTTGAAATGCACGGATACCTATGTTAGGTGCTTATGGAAAGATATATGTATATAAATGAGTTTGTAAAAAGGGGCGTGGCACATCTTATAGGTGTGGAATCTTTTATCAGCTATAACAGCAGGCAGTATTAGTGATCTCATTGTATTGGATTTTGAAGATTTGTTATAATTGATCAAAGTTAAATTCAAATAAATTATAGATGATATGAAGTTCACCGGGTCATCTTCTAGTCTTTAATATATACTCAGTTAATATACGGATTAATATTTACTAAAGTGTTACGAACGTTATTTTTTTAATACAATAAGAAAAAAATAACTATAATTTAAAGGAATGACACACAATGGCTAGAGTCGTCGCATGTGTGTATTCTTTCATATACATATATATGGGCCGTTCTTACGGTTAATATATTTTTCATCCACTCGCTTATTCCTTACCGAAAATTTTAAATAAAAATTTAACAAGTTTTAACCGCTGATACAGTACAGGTAGCAGTTTAAAATGGGTAACTGGATAAACTTTATAAAGAAAACATATTCTCTGGCTAAATTAATAAGCCTGCCCGGATAACATAAAATCCCAAGCTTGATAAACATTTGGTGTTATAAAAGTTTTATAAAGCTCTACTTGTAATTAGGAAAAATGCCGAAAAAAATTATAAAATTGATTCATTGATTGATTGATTGATAAAAATAGAGAGTGAGTTATGGCTATGACAATAGAAACTAGAAAAAAGATACCTCGTGTTGAAAGCAAAAAGGATCTAAAACCAAAAAAAAATATAAATACATTGTTAATCATAAAAAAATTTATGATTCGAAAAATAATTTTAAAATATTGTAAATTTTTTTTTGGTTTTTTAAAGTTAAGGGTAAATAAACCCTTAAACTTACAGTAACGAACAAAAGTATTGGCACAGTAAATTTTACGCAATATAGGCAAAGTATTTTTTAGAAAAATTCCAAGTATGCAGTTTAATAATCCATTCAATTTTAGTTTATCAAAGTGCAGGTTTGAAGTTGCTTGAAAATCTGAATATAAAATTGCAAATTAGTATGCAGATTTATTGAATTTTCCTGAGTTTTTCACAAAGTTTACACATTTGATTTTTATGTGTTTTAGTGTAGTATGAACTATGTTTTTATAAAAAATTATCGGAAATAAATTAAAAATTTTGCATATATGTAATGCGAAAATTTACTGTGCCAAAACTTTTGTTCGACACTGTACATATAAAAAAATACATACAGTAACTTCTCCCGTTACAATAGTAAAAAATATGTAATTTGCTTTGTAGTGCAATCTTGCGGTTCTTTAAATAAAAAATAGATATCAGAAATTAATTTTTCGTATCAATAAGCTCCCAAGCACAGGTTTGTATTAAAAAAAATATATCCGTAACACTTTATTAAATATTAATCTGCATATTTTATCAATTCGTCGGAATATGTTTTTATGTATGTTACCGCGTAACTTTGGACTACGTTATCCGTTTTCTATAATTCTTTTTGAAAGGAAAGGTGGTTCCTCAGAGGTAGTCTCCTACTAATTGAGTGTAGATCCGATAATTGGGCCATGAAGAAAATAACGGTACTTTTAAATTTGTATATGAGAATTGAAGTCGGTTTTGTTTTTTTGTTTAAATTTTACTCCAGTGTCCACAGCTTCTATAAAAGAGTCGTAGGCCATATTTTTTTGTTAGTTCAATTGTGGAACATTTGTATGAACTGCTTCGGCTAATACTTCGGCTTTTGTTCTCTTTTTATATCGAGGCTGAGTGCATTGTTCGATGGGGTGATATCATTGCCAAACATGATAGTACTTTGTTTGCCATCAATAAACACTATCTTGACGGAGTTACAGTATTCCACATTGATGCGAGCCTCAAAAGTTTTGAACAATATTTGCGAGTATGGCTTTTAGTTTTTACCGCTCAGGTAGGTGGCAGGCCTATAGAAAATATTTCTTAATCAATAATTTTTCAAATACTTTTCGCTCGACACCTATATTATAATACATACTTTATCTTATTAACTTAATTGAATTAAATTTTCGAAATTGGTGGCAACTCGACTCAAAAATATTTTCAGTAGTAAGCCTTCTTAAACCCTTTTAATTTGATACCCATATTGCAATATTTAATTTATCTTATCAATTTTATTTAACTAAATTTTGAAACAGGTGGCAACCCCCCTCAAAAATATTTTTGCCTGTAAGCCTTCATAACCTCTTTCTTTTGACACCCATATTGCAATATCTAATTTATGTAATTAATTTACTTATATTGGAATTTTTAAACAGGTGGCAACTCTCTATTTTTTCTGGTTTTAACAATCCGGATATTATAAAAAACAAACCAAAAAAATAAAAATATTCAAATCGGTCAAGCTGTTTTCAAGTCTTAGCGAGGCTAACGGACAGCAATCCAATTTTATATATAAGATATCTTCTTTTAAAAATGCGCAGGCTCGAAATTGACTTTAGAGCTATGGTCTGGATGAATTTTTTTCTTAGAATTTTATGAAGAATCCGAATATGCTAGGAACAATGTCGAAAAAAATCGATCCATACTATACTATATATATATATATATACATATAACAATATTTCTCATGTAAAAATAAGCTATGTTGTGTGGACTCCAAAGCCCCTGGATTTGGTCCTCGCAATTTTTAATAAATTCTTAATGTGAATGGAAAAAATGGAAAATGGGAGCATATTTTAGGTCAAGCGTAGTAAGAAGTAGATTTTAAATTTAAAAAAGAAATGGGAGTAAATCTACTCCGATCGGACCAAAGTCTGGATGCTGGTCACCAGCTAATGAAAACTTTCTACA